CTCCCCCCCCCCCCCCCCAAAAAAAATGAATTTCCTTTATTTTGCATACTATCTGCTGTACCTTGAGCATTTTAGTTATTATTTTATAGAATGTCTAACAGGCCATCATTACGTGTCTTAATTGTGCCCTTTGAGCTTGCTAAGTTCGCGGAAGAGAATGCCGATTGCGGCAACATCACTTATTTTGCTCATCCGAAAAGCCCTCGCAGAATTTTTATGCATCAATAGACAATCAATTTTACTTACATCACTTCATGAACTTGCCTCAAATGCCAATTTATCGAGGGTGATTCAAAAGCATTCAAGAAAGTTATTGTTTGACGCCTTCTAGCTGAGTTGGCGCAATATACACAGTCTCATAAATTAGCAGGTAAATTGTTGGCAGCAGATATAAACAAGCACGACGAGTTTAGAACTTAGAGAAAAATGTGGAAGTTTTTTCAGCCATACTCGTGATGGCTGGAAAAACGCTGTTTATTTGGCATGGAATGACCCAAAGGTAGTTATTTGCCAAAGCTTTTTCGAAGGATGCTGTAGGCTACACTTCAGGAAACGATAGAACAAGATAGCAATAATGTTTCTTCACGCTCAAAGATGAGCGCCGATGAGGGTTTTTTAGAAGAAAATAAGAAGGCACTCGTACCGCACACAGCGGAGCGGCCTGTCGATTACCAGCGCCGCAAAATAGTCAGCTTGCTGTTTTACCTAGTGTGGAGAAAGATGGCGCTTAGTGTTGTGGGCGGGGGGTGAGGGGGGGGGTGGCTAAAAGCTGCTGTATGTGCTAGCTTTCGAGTAGTGCATTCCTCTTATAAACGTGGCTAATAGTTTTTCACTGCGGAGAAGTGGATGCTTAGGTCAATTTTCGAAATTGGCGCCACTGCTGCTGCGGCTGACTCAACTGGTATTAGTCGCCACCAGATAAGTACATCGGCCGCCAGTGACACGACGGGGATGCCGATTGGAGCCGCTCCATAGCGAACCAGCGCTGGAGTTTCCGCGGTGCCCTGGCAGCCAAAGCACACACTTCTCAGCTGCTCCCGCAGGTGAGAGCGGCGGCTGGTAGAGGCGGTGCGAGCGCGCAGCACTGAAACAAAACCAAAGGGCGCTAGCGTTCAAATGGGACAATAGTTAGAAATGCCCCGTCGTGGTGGTCTAGTGGCTAAGGTACTCGGCTGCTGACCCGCAGGTCGCGGGATCAAATCCCGGCGGCGGCTGCGGCATTTTAGATGGAGGCGTAAGTGTTGTAGACCCGTGCCTCACATTTGGATGCATGGTAAAGAACCCCAGGTGGTCGATATTTCCAGAGCCCTCCGCCACGGCGTCTCTCATAATCATATGTGGTTTCGGGACGTTGTACGGTTTATTTCCCTTGTTTGTCATATTGCTACGTTCCTTTCCTCAAGTTTTGCTATTACCCCATTACACTATGTTCAGCGCAAACTGCGTGCAGGCTTCGCCGCTTGTCAGTTAATGGACGGCCGAGGCTCTGCCCGCCGCTATCAGTGTGCCAGTTTCTTGCTGTAATCTAACTTTTCTTTTACGTGGCCGCAAGTTTGGCCAATTAAACACTTTTCATTTAGGCAAGTAGTCTCTACCTTTCTGAGCGTCACGACACCATGACATCTGGTGGAGGTGCTTCCCGGCCCATGTACCGAACGCCCCGCTCCAGCCGTGAGGCAAGCCCACACCGTGAAGAGGACACTGAAGCCAGCCTCGATCAGCGCTGACAAAGATAGAGACGACTTGTCAAAAAAATGTTTATTTAATTGGCTGAACTTGTCGCCACGTAAAAGAAAAGTTAGACTACAGCAAGACACTGGCACACTGATAGCGGAGGGCAGACCGTCGGCCGTCGATCAGCTGACAAGTGGTGAAGCGGGACGGCATTAGGGAGCTTTAGAATAACGCACCGCAAGTTGTTGCGGTGCGGTCGCTGTTAGTGCGCATGCATCGTAACGCGAGTCGGCGTTCGCGTTCGCGGACCACGCGCTAAATATCCGAAATTGCGTGCGGTGATGGCTGCCGGCTTGTGGCCCTCGAGCGCTGGTTCCGAGGCTACGGGCAATGATGGCGGCCCACGTGTTGCCCGCAAGCGCTGGTTTCGAGGCTACGGTGTCGCGGCGATCGTGCGTTCTGGTTCGCAGCAGGACAAACGCTATTCAAGACGGAGTTTTAGAATACCGTTTGTAAGCGCTGCGGGCGTCGTGGGCATAGCGGGCGCCATATGAGCTTTAGAATAGCGTTTGCCCGGCTGCGAACCACAACGCACGATCGCAGTGACACCGTAGCCTCGAAACCAGCGCTTGCGGGCCACATGCGGGCCGCCATTACCGCACGCAATTTCGGATTTTTTGCGTGTGGTGCGCGAACGCGAACGCCGACTCGTGTTACGACGCATGCGCAGTGGCAGTGACCACACTGCAAAGGCTCGCAGTGCGCTATTCTGAAACTCCCTAATAATTCATATGGCGCCCGCAACGCCCGCAGCGCTTGTAAACGGTATTCTGAAACTCCCTATTTATACACTTGCCATCCAACATTCTAGCGTCATCTGTTTAGCGTTTCAGAATAATCTGAATGGTTTACAAAGTGAGCGTAACCTTAACCAAACAATTTATTACAGTCTCGAAGCCTCTCTAACACCGTAGGTGCGGTTTGCGCTGAACATAGTGTAACTAGGTGATAACAAAACTTTCCTTGAGGAAAGGAACGTGGCAATATCAATGGGACGCGGCATTGCATCCAAGCGTTCCGACAAGCGAAGTATGTTCTGCTCTCGAACCCTGTCCAGTGGTGTTGGGCTTGTTTCTAAACCGAATTGCACCTGTCAACCAGATTCACTATATAATGAAGATGGTCACCAGTGGAAGCCAGTACGAAACAGCCAAATTTATACGCTGTATTGCCGGAAATAAACTAGTATGCATACGGCACATGTAAAAAAAAAAAGTTTCATCTGATCGCCGCTACAAAAATCCATTCTGATGCCCGAACGTCAAGTGAATAAGTAGTCTGCATATTTGCTAAGAGTGACGTGGAAGGAAAGCTGCTTTGGCCACAAAATTTATGTGGTGATACGCTCACCTTAGCCTTCGAATTACTGTAAAAGATACGCTCGCGATGAATACTCGGTGCTAAGATGCTTCTGTTAGACTAAGTCTGTGCTTAAGACAGGGTTCTTGTTACAGCAGCGGAAATCTCGAAGCTTAGCTTGCTGGAGTCAGCCTATGCTGTAAGCTTCTTTCTCACTGGCTGTCATGGCTAAGTAACATCAAAATTTATGCTTTGCTAAAAAAGGGTCAGAAGTCTTTGACTTTTAGTCATCGGTCAGTCTGCCTTACACACGGTTTCAGTTTCACCGCTTGCTTCTGTCTGCCTAAAATAAACGTGTCTGTTCAACATCAAATGCTAGGCCTTCATGTACTAAACAAGATACGATTTTGAGGCACGCTGTAGCGTGGTTCTCAGGATGAATTGTGTCCGCTTGGGGTTCTTCAATGTGCTCATACATCTTGGGTCGCGGTTGTTCTTTGTATTTCACCCTCACCTAAATAGGGCAGCCGTGGTCCGAAATCTATCCCGCGCTACCAAGCATAAGAGCGTGACTCACCTGTGCTATGCTGTCACGGTGGTTTGCTTGATCAACGTCCCCGTGCATACATACCAGGGACAGGATGTACATATGCATGACGCCCGAAAAAAAAAATTGATGGCGCTGCTGCTTTCCTCTTTTTTTCTTTCTTCACTACAGAAGTTGGCAGTGTGGTATCGTCGCCTCCCAGTCTTACGAATGGGGGCATATCAGCCGGCAGTTGCTTAGCACAAAATCCAGCACGCGACCAGAAAATGATGACGAGGGAGTCACCATGACTGCACAGCACTGTACAATCGATGCCACGCTGTGCAGAGTCTTTTTTCCGTTTTCGAGTGCTCTTTTTATGAGAGGAGCATTGAAAAAAGTTTGTTTTGTTTCTAAACCACTATGCAGCATTACAAGCGCTTTTCGAAGTGTACGCTCCAAAATGAAGCGCTGCACACGCGCGCTCTCTCTCCGCGTCATCTGGGCGCGGCGCGATTCTGCGCCAGGTGCTGTTTTTTGGCGCACCACCTATCCAGCATTGCATGGTCTCCCATATGCAGAGTGCGGCGTCACCGCGGAGCTGTGGTTGCTGTGTGGACCTATGCACAGCTCTGAAGTCGTCACTTATGCAGTACTCACGCCTGAGGGCGGCAATGTCATGATCCCTTGCGTGTTCCAGAAACAGCGGCAAAGTGATGAAAAGCAGTTGTGCAAAATCAGTTGTGAAAAGCATTCTGCGCCCGTGCCAGAGCTTACTGGCTCTCACGTAAACTTAGTACTCACCAACAAACGGGGCACGCTGCTGTGCGTGTAAACGCGTACAAAGTAACCGGCACACAGAGCGTACGTGAATCCCGTTCTCCTTTGCAGCGTCGGCGCGTAAGCACAGATTATGTTATGAAGACAAAACTCGCAAAAGTTGCCTTTTCCCCCTTCACCTGAAAAAAACGCATCAATAAGAAGAATTTTTCGCTTACACTTTCTGTCTGCACAGCGCCATCTCGTAGACTTGACGGATGGTTCCATGTGCTGCAACTGCTTGTCCTTCGTATAGCTACAGTTTCTCTCTCCTAAACAGGTTCCTTTTTTTATGGTGGCCATAGCTGAACAGGTGATTGTGCTGGTGAAAAGTTTGTTCGCTCCAGGGTAAGTCGTGAATGTCGTCTCGCAATGCGTTCGGATCTGAACAGCTTGCTATTTTTCTGCAAGCTTTTTCCACTAAAGTGCCTCGCACAGGCAGTGATGAGTTTTTTATACAGTAGAACGAGAAGCACACAAGTGGTCCAAAGCTTTTTCTCTACGTTTTATTATCAGATGTCCTCCCGCAGAGCGTTCTTTGATGAGTACGATAATAATAGAAGCACCATAGTGGATTTTAAGCGACGTACCTAATGACATCTTCACAATGTTCTTCCCGCAGGCTCGCAGCACTCGGCGACTGATGGCTGCAAAGGACCTTATAGTCCAACGTTCAGCTCAGCGGCCTACCTGTACCCGTGCACCATCGAGTTCAGCATAATTTTGGCGGGAGTGTGGTTCATCGTGTGGCAAAACATCGGCAACGTACACCTACACTCTAAGTCGCACCACCTGGAGCAGAAAATTGACGGGCCTGAAGGCAACCACGAGATCACGTACGAGAGCAACGTGGTCATCAGCGCCGACTGCCACGCAGCCAACAAAGGTCTTTTCTCGGGAATTCTCGTCCTGCTCACGTCCATCATCACCGTCATCATCTTCTTTGTGGTGCTCCAGGGTTCCAACTTCAAGACGGTCGGCGGAACTATCTACAATTGTCAGGAAGGTATCCTGACGGCTCTGGGACTGCTCGCTAGCATCGTGGCCTACTTCAAGGTTATCCAGTTGGACCAGAACGCGCACCCGGTGACGTTCCTGGATAACTTCTTGCTTTTCATTCCACTTCCGTTCTTCTTCATTCACGCCATCTTGTGCATAATGGCGGAACTTCACCTGTCGGACACCTTCAGGATTGTGCTTCGCGTGGTTGCACTCGTGCAGATCATCATCCAAACGCCGGTGCTCGTCGACGGACTCCGAAGGTGCAGCAACTCGCACGTGCTCCGCTACCGCAAACCGGGCAGAGAGATCATCACCTTCCTTCTCATTTTGAATGTCACTCAGTGGGTCGTCTTTACGGTGCAGCAAAAGCACATAGACGACCTGATCGCCGCAAAGCTAGTCTACGGGAACCTCTGGTCCTTCATTGGACACGCTACAATCCCACTGATGCTGTTCTACAGGTTCCATTCGGCTGTTTGCCTGGCAGACATCTGGCAAGCGGCTTACCACAAGGGCGAGTGAAAGTGATAGCGCGCTATTCGGCTAAGACGTTTTGACATCAGACGCAAGCATTTCTGTTTCACGAAGAAGGCCTGTCCCCGGCTGAAATTGCTGACGTTATCTGCTACCAAGTTTATATCTTGCTGTGTTGACGACTTTTCACCGCCTATGGGTTGCATGAACATCATTCTGAGAAATCCTTAAACGCTCACACACTACAGTGACTAGCAGCGGTCACTGGACCATTAGCGATTGAGGATGCGGTTTAAAGACTGGTCACGCCACTAGAAATGGAGTTACCCACATCTTCACACCACCTTCTCAACTGCAGTAAAGTATCCGACTCATAGTCATCTGCTTGGAGGCTCGCAACTGCAGTTGCGTGACTGGCAAATCGAGCAAGATGTGACTGAGCGGGAGTAGTCCGACCAGAGTGGCCGCTTGAGAGCATATTTGTGAATGCTCGCCTTGTGATTACACGGCCGGTGCTACACATAGGTGTGAGTATTAAAAATGAAAACTATAATGAATTTAGCCGCTAAACATACTGACCGTAACTGAAGAACTGGAGCTGCTCATGAAATTCAGCGAAGCGTCAGCCTTGCTTCATCTTGTCGTCTTAAGTCTTGTTCAAGCTCCCATTATTACATCCTTATTGGAATGTGCTATAAAACAATGCAGAATACACAACTTATTACTCGGTATGCTTTTGAATATATAGTAAAATAAATCAACACTATGTTGAAATACAAAATGTTCGAGCATTCTTGGGGTGTCCTGCGTGTTTTACTGTCGCATAGTTCGCGCTGTTCTGCATAACGCGCAGAATTTTATTTCTAAAAAAATCACAGCATATTCACTAAGTAAATCAAGATAAGTGGATGAAGCTCCGGCAGATAATTCGGGTAACCATAAATTCTTCGTAAGTTGCCTACTATAACATGCAAATGAGTGACAACTCACTTACAACATATACAATGTTCATTATTTTTTTATTGATTGTATATTGTATTTAGCTTGGCTTTGCCTTCATTAAGTCTGCTTTATCATTGGTGAAATGAAGAGCAAAGCACAGTGGTGCTTCATCGTCCTAGTGCAGCGATGGCAGAAAGATAATGTATAGGCGGCAACGCACTTCTTTTCAGCGTCATCGAGGGACGGATGGCTCGATAGTAAGGAGCTTCGACCCGAATACACTTCATTCTGTTTTGCTTTATACTACTACTACCGCTGAATGAGTTAAGAGGAAGACAACATGGTGCGTTCATGAAAATGTTTGTTAAGATTCAAAGCATTTATCGCTATTATTCTCAGCCATTGAGAAATGTGGGAATACTACCTGCAAACGAATTGAAGCTTATCCACCAGCGTGTAACACAAGAACCGCTTTGTAAATGGTCAATAAAGGTGAAGCACTGGTACACGCCCGCCGTAATTTGTGTGCTGACGCCACGAGAGCACTCCTCGAGTGGACATACGCGAATTGGGCAACCACCGCTGTCCTGAAAGTGGCAAACGAAAACCGGTAAACGAGAGATGTATAAGGAAGAGAGGCGGATATAAATAACGAATAGAAACATGGCGAGAGGAAGAGAAGGATAGAAAAAAAAGTGATGGAAAAAACAAAGGGAATGGAGAAGTACAGAAAGATAAATAGGTACAAAAAATCACAACATATCCACGAAGAGAATATTGATGAGTGGGGTGAAGAGTCCATCAGTCCGTCCACGTTTTCGTCCATCCGTTCGTTCTTGTCTCCGTCCATCCATGCGTCCGTCCATCAGTGCGTCTGTCCATCCATTTTCTTCGTTCAGCGGACTGGGAGCGCAGAGAAATACACAAAGGACGAAGGGAGGAACCACACAACACGAGCGCTCAGTGATCCTTTTGCAATGTATTTCTGTCCATCCATTTGTGCATTCATGTGTATGTTTGTCTGTGCATCTATCTATGCGTCCGTCCGTGCGTCCGCCCTTGCGTCCGTCTGTGCATCCATCCGTCCAACCATTCGTGCGCACGTCCGTTGCGTCTTTCCGTCCGTGCGTCAAACAGACAGATGACTGATAGATGCGGCCAGTAGAGAATTCACGGTTTGCCGACAGAACCCTTCAAAGCTTCGCTCCACTCATCATTATTAACTCTGTGGATATGCTGGGAAGTGGTTACTACATACATGCCACACATACAGATGACAATCAAGCCATGCCTTAAGGGGCCACTCACCAGGTTTGACCATTTTGAGCGGACAAGCGCAATGTGTAGACGAGGCATTCATGATCACGTCTGCCAAAATTTGCAACGCTACGCACCGCGGAAATGGGTCAATTTTCAAGATAAACGCTGTCCCCCCTTCCTTTTGCGGGCACGCGCCAAGAGGGCATGACGTGCGCGTGTGAATGACCCTACGTACACGACAATGCCGTGACGTTGCTCGTCTACGTAGAGAACTGTGCTCTGACGTCGTCAACAGTATACAACGTGACATTGCCTGTATTACATAAACTACGACATGCGTGCTTTACGTAATTTGCTTCTTGAACAGATGTATAAAACTTGAGATTAATAATGGGATGCAATAAGATAAAGTGAGCATCTTTCTTTTATTTTTTCCCGTGAATTACAACGAGATGCCGGCGTTTCGCATGCATTCGTGTCCCCGCGGTGAGCGCATCGAGCAGACGACAGTCGTAGAAGCGTAAGTAACACTCCTACGCGTTCGCGCACTGATTGTGCTCATATTTTTTGCCGCATCTAAGCCAAGGGAGGGATTGCGAGCGCCGACGAGTGCAGACGCGCTTCACGTTGACTCCTGTTTCATGAACGAATTCGCAGTGAAGATCACCTCGTGCATTTCTCAGAGTGATATCAGAGGATTCGCCTCGTCATCGAGATTCTCGGGATACAAAAGACTAGCTGGGCCAACTGTTCTTGGTCTTTTTATGGCCTCCTATCAGTGCACACCGCTCGAGACGCTGTTCAGCCTCGCGAAACAAGCCGCTATCCTCAGGGATGCGGCGCTGTAAACCCAATGGAATCCACCGCGTCGGCAGGCAACGCGGAAGACAATGCTGCTGATTCGAGGACGATGGACGTACAACACGATGATGATGAATCGCCAGCCACTACCGAGAGTGAAGAAGGCTAGCACACCGTCCACTACGGACGTCTTCGAAAGCCCGGACATGAATCGGCCAGGGAGGCTGATGGCTGCCATGGTGCTAAGAACAAGGTAGAACCCGGTTTTGGTAACACGCAAGCCCAAAACGCAGGAAATACGGATGAACCGCATTGAAAAAGCGAGCAGAGTGCCCAAGCTGCCAGTGGGAGGCTACAAAATTGTCATTCGACCGAGAGGAGGGCTACGCGTAGCCGCACTCGGCCCGACCGACATAACCAGAGACATACATGAAGCCGCGGCTACACCACCAGAAGTCCGGAACTTGGACGTGATATGCCCCAACAAGACACAGAACATCATGATAGTGAGCACACCAGACCCCGACTCAGCTGACCAGTGCAGAAATATCAAGAAAATACTTACACGATGCAAAGAATATGAAGAGGCAGCGTATGAAACAGCACCAGATGATACAGTCAAGGGTATCATTAAAAGAATTTCACTGGAAGAAATTCCTGGTAGCATTAGGGCGGCCCTTGTTACTGAAAGAAACCACAGCATCATCACGACTGAACGACTGGTAATACCTCAACGGTTATTGTGCTCTTCAGTGGAAACAAGGTACCCTTTAGTGTGTGCTATAATATAGTAATAATACCGTGCACGCTATACCGAAAGCAAATTGACTACTGCAAGCAGTGCAACAGACTGGAACACAGAAGTGACGAGTGCCCCAACCCCAAGATAAATTTAGTGCTGGTTACGGCATTCACAACCCCAAGGATAACCACATATGCGACCCTAGCTATCAAATCTGTGGAAAAGACGTCGTTACAGCCTATAAAAGCTGCACGGCCAGGTTCAAGAAACGTTACATTGTAAAACAGAGACAGTAGGCCAGACTGCGAGAACATCAAAGGCAAAGCTCATCTCCACCAAGAGGGCGTCCACGAGAGCGCTCGACATCGAGAACCGGAAAACGACAACAAACAAGATCCCGCTCCGGTTCAAAGCACCGCAGCTCTGCAAGCTCCCACCCCAGTTCCAGGTCTGGATAGGTGTCTAAGGGACCAACAAACAAGGTGAGCTGGGCAGATAGAGCACGGAGCTTGCGACCGGAGGGACCTCAGTAGGTTAAAAAAAACAACGGTAGCAATAACAACAACAGTCAAAGCTCGAACGGCTTAAAGATGAAAACAGACGAATGAAAGAAATGATAGAACAGATGCAAGCTCAAATAGAACTCCTCACTATGGAATGCGAATGCGGCAAACCCAGAAGCACTAATATAACTAATACTGTAATGCAGGAGGAAACAGCCATAGCTGACAATCGCATGGAGATAACTACCCCTCCGTCAAAACGAAAGGCCAAAACGCAGAAAGCTACAGATCCCCCAAGCGCTAAACGCGAAAGCATCTCGCAACAAACAAGGTTGGATAACATTGAGAAAAAAGTATACCAGCTATTACCCGCATTCCAATCGATCCTGCAAATCACCACTAAGACGTCTGTTGATCTGACGGCACTAGCAGCCAGGGCAGAAATGCTTGAAGGAGAATGCAACGACAAACATCCGCAGACCTTCTGGGCGCAGTCGTGAACGTTCACCAACAACCACAGACACCATATCTCCTGCAGGAAACTCAAACAAAGCCACCAACCCCTCTCATCCACCCACCCTCCCACAAAAATAACGAATGGCGATGGTGAGGCGTGGTAAAGGACAACTCCGCATATGGCAATGGAACTGTAGAGGATTCATGGCTAAGAAATCTGTCGTCCAGCATTACATCCAACAAGGTAACAAGCCAGATGTTATTTTACTTCAAAAACGCATGGCCTTGCCACACTACCTAGGATAACAGTTAGTAAGTCCCAATCGTGAAGAAAAAAATAAAGCTCTAACTGCGCTAGTATGGGCAGAGACTACGGTCAGAACCAATAATCTAGAATGTGGATACAACCATATAATGACTGAACTGCTATCTAGGAAAACAAAAGGAAGCAGCACATTTATTCTTAACGTATATAACAGTCCGTCAAATCACAGGCAGCAATTTCACTTGCTGTTTAGGCAGGCCGTGATATTAAATGATATTAGATGGCAGCGCCCCGCTCATCTTAGCAGGGGACTTCAACGCCCCACATGAGGCATGGGGGTATGGTTTCACCACCCCCAAAGGGAAACGGTTATGGCAGAGCATACAAGACAAACAGCTTACTCTGATAACAGACCCTCATGCACACACACGCATAGGTACAAGCACCCAGCGACACACAACACCAGATCTTACAATAACCAAGAATGCCCCGGGAACTACATGGCACAACACATTCGAGGAGTTAGGCAGTGACCATCGTATATTCGAGACATACGTACCATTCACCGATAGCGACAGGATTACGACCATGTGTAACATGAGGCGTCTAGTTGACTGGGATAAATTTCGGGAGATCAGAAAAACGATTACCGAACATCCTGACGATATCCAGCAATGGTGCAAAAGCATAATAAACACCGTCAGGAAATCCACACAGGAAGTAGAAACAGATATCACAGTTGAACGCATCGATAAAAATAATCCACCTGTGCTGAACTAAAGAAGCGTTACAACACAAATGGTGGAGGCAAAGACACAACAGAA